CCCCTCCGTCCATGTCTAGGAAGGTGAACATCCAAACTGGCTAGGCTCCCATCAAGCCAGAACATGAAGTAGGATCAAAACCCCTTGCCATTGACCTTGGCTTCTCATCAGTCCTCATTGTTCGCCATGATCAGAGAGTCCGGTTTTATCCCATGCTGTTTCAGTCACAGTCTAGCTGGCTTTGGTGAGCTCCCAATAGATCAGCCCCACTGTCTCAGTGGGAGGGTGCACCCCCCGTGGTCCTGACATCCTTGCTCGTGTTCTCCCTCCATCTGCTTCTCATTGGGACATTGGGAGCTCAGTCCAGTGCTCCAGTGTATCCAGTTTCACATATTTTGTTATAATGACAGACAATCATTCACTTAATTAATTAGCTCTTGTTCCTGACCTTTGTTAAGCGTTATGAGCTCTGGGAGACCTTGTCTTCTCTCAGTGTTCACACCTGAGACTGACTTTGTTAAACTCCTTCCATCAGCTTTCTCCTTTCAGGCAGTGAACTGGCTAACCAGTAACCACCAGTTCCAAACAGTACAAACCATGACTGTAGCTGGATAGAAATTAAATGCACAGACTGTTTCTGGACCTCTCTGGAGTTTTCCTAAGGGTGCACTCCTCACGGGTTCCATTTTCACACAGATTGCTGAGGGATACAATAGAGACCATCAATAGAGCTATAGGATGTATGAGAGAGAGAAAGACCAGGCATGAGAGAAGGAGGGAAGGATGGGTTGCTGGAGAATCTTTCTTACAGTGAATGTAGAGAATAGCCATTCAGCCAGCCACTTCCAGCCAAGCCTCAGGGTTTAAGTTAGGGCAAATGAGAGGCCAATAACAAAACAAAAGGAAAGGGAACAAAAGGCATTCAAGCCAGTGAGAGAGTGAGTGTAGCTGAAAATACATGTCAGACCGGATTTAATAAAAATTTAGAAGCCAATGGCCAGGAGACTCTGGCAACTTAGAATCTGCAAACATGGGCAGACGTGCTGCTTCCGAGGTACCGCTGGGAGGAATGGGTTGTGTCTAAATCATATTTTCATTCTAAACTTTGTAAATGATGCAACCCTCTCTAGACAGTAAAATCAAGAACTGTAAAATATAAAAAATGTCTTGAAGTCATTAAAGACGTTATTTCCTGACATTTAAACATAGAAAAGGAGTAGGAACCTTTTCAAATTGCTGGACTCTTCTTCTTCCCTAATGCCTAAGAGCTAAGCATTCTGTGTGTTCGTAATGACATTGAGTTTGATATGCTATATTTAGTCATCCATTCAACACGCATTGATTACCCGCCTGCAGGTCTCCCTGCCAAATGTGATAAATATGTACAGTGGAGGAACAATATCTCCAAGTGTCTAGAAGCAATTACAGAGATGGGTAGAAGAGAGGCATGGCAGAGTCCGTTTCTGAGGGCTATTTACCGAAGAGTCTACAGAGAAGTAAAAGGAAACAGAAACGCATGATTGTCTCTACGGGTTGTGTAAAATTTGCAAGTCTAACTGTAACTTAATTATAGACTTACCGTGGACAGAAGTGGGTTTAGTCAGGGTCAAGCAATAAGAGACCCATGGTGAATTATGGAAAAAACAAACAAACAGACAAAACACACACACACACACACACACACACACACACACACACACACAGAGCCATCAGGAATAGAGCCAGAGAAGGAAACTCTTTTCCTCATGGAGTCACTTGCTACTCACTTCCTCTGCTGGGCTGAAGAGCGCCGGGTACAAATCACAGCTACGATCACCACGACCAACACGGTGAGGATGCCTACGGTGACCACAGTTATCACAAGCAGGTTGCTGTTCTTCTGAGGAGTGACGCTGCCATGCGGGGGGTGCATCTGTCCGATGGGGGGTTCTAGGGGAAAAACAAGCATATAGTGTTCAGGGTCAGGGAGAGGTTGTCACCACCGCTCATCCGACTGTAAGACAAAGAGTTCTTACTGTTGAAGCCTGACATACGTGGACAGGAAAAGCTATTCAAAATAGTCCAAAACAGAAAAAAAAAATGTAAATGTTGATTAACTAAACCATGGTGATATATCCATTCAATAGAATACTGTCCAACCATAAGAGAAATGAAGTTCTGATTCATGCTACAATGTAGAAGGTAAGCGAAATCAATTAGAGGCTGGGTAGTGTTTCATTCCACTCATAAAATACCTAGAGTAGGCAAATCAATGAAAACAGAATGCGTTTTATTGTCAGTCAGTGGATGGAAAGGGTGGCCAGTGAGAACAGATAAGGAGACTGAGCTGCCTTTTTAACTCCCAGAACCTTTCTAAATTAGATAGTGTAATGCTAGCCTAACCTGTTGATTATACTAAAAACACGCAACTTGAATCAGTTCCAAAGGTGATTTGTGTATCCTGATCCACAAGCTAAGATGTATAATATTGAGAGAAAAAAAATCCATCGAGTCCGCTTTGTGTTGGTAAGCTAGTCCTGGCGTGGAGTCTTCCCTGGAGTACAGTTGCTATACCTAGCCACACTCCATTGCAGAAAACTGATTTTCTCTCTGCCGGCATGTATTATCCGAAAATAATTTCTTGGTTAAAGGTGGGACTCTGTGTCCACTTTCCGTTCTCAGTTCTGGTGTTTTTTTTTTTTTTGATTGTTTGTTTGTTTGTTTTTTTCTGGATTTAGGTTGTGTGTGTGTACTGCTAGAGTCTCCATGAATTCACTGTGTATCACTTCTGTTGTGTCTGAAGGTATTGTTTTATCTTCCCATTGGCGTTAAAATATTTGCAGGGAATATTTTTTGAGTTCCTACTAGTAACTTACCAGTCTCAGAACAATCATTTAACAGATCCACATAGGACTTTATGTCACATTAATTCGAGTAGTTGAAATGTGATGGCATTTTGAGGGAGAAAAAGCATGTTTTTAACCTGATAGCCTATATGTGTTAACTTAGAAGAAAATTTAAAAGGCAATCGACAGTACTGAGTATTTGTAAATCAATTAATAATTTCATTTTTTACTAATAAAAAATCAAAGTACTAAAACATGTCAAGTTTAACATTTTTTCCCAAATGGAGGTCAACAGAATAATGTTTTATAGATTCTGTAGATCTTTTGATCAAATTCACTAAACTAATTTTTCAAATTCCAAGTAGCAAAGGGAATTGGTACTTCTTGGAGAGCATAGAAGGATTGAGTTGAAGTAATTTTAATGGTGGTTGTCTTTCAAACAAATGTAAAACACAAATTATGTTTCTAGAAGTTGAAGCATGTTCAACATTAAGAAAGGATATGGAATATATTCTAAAATTAAATGCATTATAAAATTGAAATAGTATCATGTCAGCAAATATTTACCTATGATTCTACCTGACATAAGAAAATATTAAGGAAGCATCTTCAGCTTCTACAATTTAATTAAGGGCTTTCAACTATGAGAGAATTCATGAACTATAGCACTGTTTTTTGTTTGTTTGTTTGGGATCTTTTTAGTTGAAATTCAAAAGTGAATTTTTGAAAGGGTGGCATGTAAAGAAAAAAACATAACCATAAATATTAGCGGGGTCTAAATTAATTTGCAACTTTTTTGAGTATCTGACAATAAGCTATTATTCTATTACTGTTTGAAGGATGAACCCAGCAAATATAGAGAGAGTCAGAAAACCCCCATAATTCGGTCAGTCTAAGAGATATGTATGCATTTTCATTATGTGAGAGGTTCAAGAACAAAGAGACTTGAACAAATTTTTTGTCAATGTAGACTTTTTTTTAAGGGTGAGATGCAGACACAGACTTTGCTCTATGGGACCTTTTTTTTTTTTTTTTTAACATAGTTAATTGGGAAAAACTGCCCCCTTCCCAAACCTTAATTACTAGGCTTTTAACTGGGAATCCTACTTTTCACAGGACATTGTGGAATCATTTATTAGAGCCAGGGCTTGAGTCAGATCGCATATTCAGCATAATTCTTCTGCTAGCAATATAGTAGAGGAAAGAGATGAAGTTTCTTTTTCACCATCCGTGTGTCTAGGGGTTTGGATCCAGTTCACTGTAATCAGTTAGTGTAATAGTCTGTCTCTCTAGTAGTGATCTAGACGCCTTGCAGGTACATCATTAGCCTCATTCACTTAGCATAATATTTTTAAAACATCATGAAGTGATGGGGAAAACTGAGCAGGAATAACGCCAGCAGATTATGTGAACTCGCTCAAAGCACTGAATGTCATTATTTGTTTTCCTTCCAAGAACTTCCCTGTGAGGTAATGTTTGTTAAGTCCAATTTAATTATAATTTTATTCTCACTAAGAATTTTCTTCAGTAAAAGAGAAAAACAAATGCATGTAGTGGCATGCATTTCTCCAAATCACTGTCCTTTTCTTCATCTGAGGACTCTGGTAACAGGAAAATTCTGTTGATTGACACATTCACGTCAGATTTAGTTGGGGGCCTGTTTTTGAACGGTGGTTTCATTTTATTTTGAAAGACAACTTCAAGCACTTAAACAACTTTTAAGTTTGATCCACACTGGAGGACTGCAACATTTAAGAAGTACAAGCATTTAGAAGTAATTTTGAATAATTTCTTATTGCTTATACATAACGTTAAGAAGCATATGTACACTGATATTGAAATCTCTTGTAAAGAATTTACTTATGTTTGATTCTTAAGCAATTGTGAACAAATTACAACTCTGCTTGCTAAACCTAACTCTATCCAACAATCCAACACTGCGTCCTTTAGGACTTATAGCTTCTGAGAGGAGACAATTTTGCCTGTGGCTACACTTTCTCCACTGTTAGCATTTGCATCCACTGCTTGGCAATACTGAAAGCCATGAGGGGACCGTTACACTTTCCCTATAATCCCTATGGTTTTCTTCTTTAATTTTCCGAATTTTGTCCTTCGAAAAGTACTATTCTGTGATCATATTCATAACAGAATGAACTCTTATTCAAATGACTTCATAAAATTGATGTTTCAAAATAAGGATAATTCAAAAGTGTATTATTTACTACTATGTATTACAGGAATGAGGGGGAGGACATATGAAAAACAAGAGGAAGATGTGGGCCTTCTGGATGAAGCATCCAGGATTTAATCTTACTTAATTAGTAAGATTATAATTTTAATAAACAAAATTATTCCACGCTAGAATAGGTGTTCAGGATGTTCTCTAAGATCTGAATATCTTGACCCATCAAGCTAATGCATATGTTGAAATCTAATTTTTGTTTTTCTGAGATTTCATGGTGAGGTTTCTGGGTATGACTATGTGATGCAGGCAGAACCTTCATGAACTGGATCTTTGTCCTCATTAGAGATGCCAAGAGATTCCTTTTACCATTTACATCAAGGGAGGACACAGACTATTTCATCTGTGAAGTAAAGGTCCTGAGACCTTGACCTTGAACTGTCTTTCCAGCCTTTGGAAGAATTATGAACAACAAATTCATGTTGTTTACAAGTTACTCAATGTTATGGAGTTTGTGACAAAACAGGGATGGATAAAAAATAAAGGAAAGTAAATATATTTGTCTATTAAGTAAAGGCTATTAATAGGGGAGGAAGTTATAGGGGGAAATTGAAAAGTTATTAAAGAACACTACTATTTGCTGTGGGACAGTGACTCAAGCAACTGGTTGTATAAAAATACACACACACTGTGTGCATATAGATATACTGATACCTCTTTGAAATTTTATACATTTAATTATACTAGCATACAATAGGAACTAATCACTTAATTTGCCTATTATAGTTTCATAACCAGAAAAAAAATTAAATGATAATTTCTCTCTTCCCATCTGGATCTTTTATTAGGAAACTGCCCAAATGGAAATGTATCTGTTAATTAATCAAATCTCTCATGCAATCCTACTAAAGTGGATAAATAATTTTGTTAGTTATAAAATGAAATACTGTGCAGCAGTGGAGAAAAATGAGTGAGAACTATTTTAAGGACATGGATAAAATTTACCAGATTTAAAGACAAATTGTAGCACGATCCATAGAGGATTTAATTGGTATTTTTCATAAAATTATAGACATGCGAAATAATTTATTTACATAGTCGTATATAGGAAACATCAATCTGCAAAGTACATTAGAGAAGAGACGATGAATAGAGAGCACACGCTGATTCAGACACATCCCGGGGATTTCAACTGCATGGTCAACTGAAGCCTCTTAGAGGTTATTATGTTGTGATATATAGCATTACAGATATTATTGCATTTTGCATATGAATGGTTTTTAGTGAGTCAAACCAAGCAAGAACAGCATGTTTTCCAGTGATGAGCATGATACATTAGTCCTTTGGATCGAGTTAATTTATCCTTTCAAAGATTCTTTTTCAGAAAGACTGAGACCCGCTTCTGGAGTGTGACTTTCTGCCTGCCCCATGTTCATTACCTGCTATTTCTTCCATGTGGACCCCTAGAAGCCCACAGTTATAAGAAAAACTTCACTGGGGGAAGCAAGAAAAGAAAATTGCCTAAAATTGAGAGTACAAAGGACCAGTAATAATAAAATAGTATAGGATTTAAAAAGTGAAAAGTCCCAGTAACTTTATCAAGCACCGTTGGTGATAAGTCAATTGATAAGTCAATCGTTACTTATCATCTCTCTCCAATAGAAAAGACTGTTGTAAACATGGAAAATACACTACACATCTCAAACTATAAGTATTTAATTTCTTGTGCTGGTTAGATTTTGTCACAATGACACAGAAGAGGGTAATCTGGGAAGAGGGAACTTCAGTTTTAAAAAATACTTCATTACACTGGGCTATAGGCAAGTCTGCAGGTCATATTTTGATTAATGACTGATGTGGTAGGGTGCAGCCCACTATGCACAAAACCACTCCTGGGCCCCGTCCTGGACTGTATAAGGAAGTAAGCAAAGCAATCCACAAAGAGTAAACCAGTAAGCACCATTCATCCATGGCCCCTGTTTTGGTTCCTGTCTCCAGGTTCCTACCTCGAGCTCCTATCCTGATTTCCTTTGGTGATGGACTATAAACTGTAAACTGAAATAAACCATTTCCTACCTTCATTGTTTTGGTCCGTGTTTTCTCACCATATTAGAAAGCAAACTAGGGAAGTCCTGTATCACTTATGGATTGCCCCGGTACTGGAACTTGTCTAATTATGTTTCATGCACCTGCCACCTCTAATTGTCATCATTTTGTGGTAGAATGTGTGAAGTTTGCTAATGACATCATTTTTCTATCACCGCAGTAAAGCTGGAAGTCCACAGTCCTTGCCCTTGTCAATAGAAAATTTATTTTGGACACTGTAGAATTAACTGTGTAATTACTGTAGCTAATCCAATAAAACTCAATTTATATACTTACCATTGAGAGTGCTTCTATCAATCAAGTTAGTATCAACTGGCCAATAACCTCCATCTCCATGACGACCTGTGTATATCAGCACATTAGAATGTTAGTGGATATAGCTCAGGGAACTACAAACAAAGCATAATAATATGACAAGGAAAAAATTCTAAATATGCAATGAAAGAGCAGAATTATTGGTGCCAATTCTAAAAATTTTACTTTTCCAGTGAGTAAGAAAAATCCGTCATACTTAATCTAGTGAAATTCATTTCTCTGAGATGCAATTTCCTTGTTTTCTTCCTTTCTTTACATCTCAATATTTAAAATATATTACCAAGAAGCAAACACAAAAGGTCCAACATTGCCATACTAAATGGTTTTCTCCTCAAGACTTCAGAACAAAGATGAACTGGATCATGGCTCCTAGGTCTAGCCGACTTTTATTGTTTCCTGTCAAGAGTTTTTAGCATATTCTTGCGGCTATCTTGCCAGGCCAATATTTGTTTCATTTTAAATTTGATTACTTGCTAGTATTTTTAGGAGTAAAGGAAGGTGCTTGATATATACTTAGAGAACAAAGAATGTGACCAGGTGCCCCACGTACACAGTCTTCCTATTTGTTGGTTCCTTCACTGTGGTATTAGGTATAAAACAGATGTGAACATACTCTAAAAAGATGGAGTCACAAATTAATCAAAAATACTTATAATACAAAGTTAACTAATGGCGCTATGTTACAGATGACCCTTTATTCATAAACATAGAGAACTGTGATCATTTGATTAGCTTTGATCTTTAGAATATCTAGGTAGACCTCTCATAGAAAAGAGTTAGAGATGTGACTCTGCTTACAGACATGTGCCAGTGTTCAGCATTTGTTTCTGAAGTAATTCTCGTTAGGACAGTGGCGAAAGTGTTGGTCATGATAACTGTGGTTTTCCTAGGATCCATAGGTAGATTACATGTTCAACTTTACAAGTCAGCGTTGTGACATTTTTTGTGCATGCCCAATGTTCTTCTCACTGATGTTTTTCAAGCATTTCAGTGTTTTATTTGCCAAAGAGTGGTTGAGAAGAAACTTAGTATTCTGTTCACTGACTCTCTGAGCACATTTTTTAAAAATTCGTTGGGTATCAGTTCTCAGCGGAAGTTCGCATGGACACCAGACTTCCAACAAACAATGAAAGAAATTAATTCAATCACAATGAATCATGATTTTCACTTAAAATGCCATATTTAAACTCCTCTGGGCTTTGACTCTGAGTATGAAAGGAAATAGAAGTAAGGATGAGGCTTCGATTTGTATGTGGCAGGAAGCTGGGGATAAATAAATAAAAATATGCTGTGGGCATTTTGGCGGGCTCACTACATCAGTGGACAGTCCTGACCTTACCCAGACATTTGACTTATGTAACAAATACATCTGAAGTTTCAAAGAACATGGGCGAAGCTTTGCCCATAGCACACTGTGGGATCTGTGTTGGAAGAAATGAAGTGAAACCGAAGTTCTACATGCATATTAAGAATATTTTTGCAGCAACTGAAAGCGGCTAGATTGCAAAGCAGTCGGCCAAAAGACACACTAACAACCTAATCGCTTAGGCCAGTAAAAGCAATAATTGACTTCTGTAGGGAGTCATCCTGTATTGGCTGGGAATGAGGTAGATAGCCTGGGGAGGATTTTCTTTTTCTCCGGCCTCCTGACAAATGTCTTTTTAATGAAGTTTCTAACTCTCTTTGCTAGTTTGTGGGAGGATGTAAACAAGTGCACAGGCATACCCATGGATAACATAGACAGGAAGCCATGCGGCTCTGGAAACCCTTGGATTTACCAGGCTCTCAATTACATTGAGAAGACAGTAAGTAGAGAACACCTCTGATATCATATGGGCTGGAGGTTGAACAAGATATAGGCATTGTGGAAGTGCTTCTAAATAGCATGGTGCTTAAAACTTGGACATTTTCTACCCTTAAAATCTAGTGTGTTGACATGACTAGTTTTTTTTTGTTGTTTGCACTAGATTGATATCACAATATAAAATTAAATAACTCTTAATGACCCCTACAAAGTGTCACTTTTAGGAAACATGATATAATCAATGAGGAATATTGGATTCATGGGAATTTAGCTATCTTGTAATAGTTCATTGGGAAAGCACAAAACTCATTCCCAGGATATCGAAGACCCAAAGATACCTGAGCCTTAATTTTGTGCTGTTTCCTCTCTTTGAAAGATGCTCTTAAGCTCAAAGGAGGTTTCTCTGATGTGCAAGTAATAAATAACTAATAATAATAGTAAAAGAAATGGCAACAAAATTTGCCTCCAGCACTGTTGGGCAAGTCCTAGGAAGTTAGTAAATGAGACTAGAGAGACATAGGACATGATAGTAATGATTCTGTTGCCAGCCAGGCCAACACATGTTTGAGGACTTTGTGCTGTGGAATGATATTTAATGTGTTCAGTTAATTTGGTTGATTTCATAAACATTCACAGAAATAGAGGTACAGTTGGAATTTGGAAGATTGCTGGCATGAAAGTCAGTCAATATAAATATTCCAACTACTGCCTTTCCCAAAGGTCTCAGCTTCATTAAAGGAGAATTAAATGGTAGTAATTTATTCAACATTTATTGAATGCTTGCTACACAAAAGGCATATTCCTAGATTCTCAGAGAAGGGGGAGTACAAAAAGATGCATTAGCATTGTGCTCTGTGATGGCAGCTAGCATTGGTTCATTATGTCTAAAGCTTAAATAATCCTATTCATAATTAATAATAACCAGCTATTGGAGGTTTGTAATTCACTTTGGGTTTAACGGTTTAAATACGACTTATACTCTTTCTTTCTTTCTTTCTTTCTTTCTTTCTTTCTTTCTTTCTTCCTTCCTTCCTTCCTTCCTTCCTTCCTTCCTCCCTCCCTCCCTCCCTCCCTCCCTCCCTCTCTCTCTCTCTCTCTCTCTCTCTCTCTCTCTTTCTTTCTTTCTTTTGTCAAGACAGGATTTCTCTGTAGCTTTGGAGCCTGTCCTGGAACTAGCTCTTGTAGACCAGGCTGGTCTCAAACTCACAGAAATCTGCCTGCCTCTGCCTCCCCAGTGCTGGTATTAAAGGTGTGCGCCACCACCACTGCCCAGCTTAATCTATCTATTTCTATACAGCACTATCAGATTTTCTTAAAAATGTTTTTTATCTAGAATATTGCAAAGGAATACCTGAAAAAATGTGGTATGTTAACAGCATTGCATTAGAATTTTAATGATTAAAGTTTTTGAATCCTCCAGTTCTTTTTATGTAATATACTAAATCTCCAAAATTTAACGTTTGTGAGCATCCCAGAGTGACTTTGACAATAAGCTCAAGTGTCTGTGATCTCCTTGTCATTTGCTCCCAGGACTGAAGATGAGAGGGGCAGAAGTCTTATGGCTGCCTTTAGGGAGGATGCAAATTGGTTTCTCCTTCATGCTGATCCCAGGGACACCTCTGATGAGCTCTCCCTACTGGAGGAGAGACTCCTGTCAATTAAGATGCTTTTCAATGCATTACTAAATACTGTGCATTTTAATTCATTAGATTTTTACAAAATTTCCTTGTGATTTTGTTCTCAGAGGCCACTTAAATATTGCTTCTCTGTTTTTTATTGTGGGACAGTATGTGTATGTGTGTATGTGCAGATGTCTCTTCCTATGTGTAAAATTAACCTATATCAATGTTTATTTTATGTCCTCACTTACAGCACAGACAAACAGTATTTTCCATGATAAATAATTTTCCGGCACCTAGAAAAGATGCATTATGTAGGAGTTTTGGTGCTAGGGTCTATTTTTGTCCTGTGGACATTTATAATTTCAGGAAGGGGTGTAAGGCATTCATGTACAGAGGCCGTTTAGGAAGTTGGATGTGGTACCTGTAATCTCATCTTTAATCCATCTTCTTTGAATGGGGATTCAGAGGGTCCACACTATCAATCCCCAGAGAAATACATATGGGCCATAATCTAAATCAAATGGGCAGACTGGTCATCGAACAAATAACGCGCTGCACAGTCTCCTAAGGATGCAGAGCACGGAGTTATCGCCCTGATCTTAGAATTGGTTTTCTGAGAATAATTCTGGGGGTAATGATGAAAATTGCATCGATTTTATGTCTTGTACACCGGTGGATAAAGAAGATCCATTAATGCCACCTGAATACAATTTTACTGTCCAGCACACAGATCACATTGAGATATATTTAAAACAGATGATTTGTCAGAAGCGAGATATGTGTGGGAGAGATCAATTCATCATGTGGCTGATAACACTGCTGACTTTGAGCAAAGGTATCAGGGCATCAAAACCCACGAAACAGAACAATAAGGAACACCCAGGAGTTTTCAAATATATATTAATAGAAAGTAGCTGCTCACTTGTTCCTAAGGTCCAATGCACTGTGCTTAAATAAACATAGAAGAAATCACCGAGTGAAGGAAAACATTAGTGTTTCAGATGCAACGGCAGCTAAAGTTCTCATCACATATGAAGGTTGGTGCTGAGTAAACCCATGGTATTTCCCCTTCTCCAAAACCTTTGGTTGCATTTGCCTCCTGCAGATCTTCTGAGAGCAATAACTTGCAAAATAAGGAGGGAGGGGGTTGGTGAAGGACTGAGCTGTCTGGAGTGAGAAAAGCAACGTGTGTACCCTCTCCGTGCATTTTCATCATAAAAGTTCCGCTCTTTTCTATTCTAATCTTCATCTGTACACCATTGACTGTGAATAGGATTGACTCTTGCTAAGAAGTAAACAAAGTTATAAGAATTCTTAGAAATCAAACTAGAAATTACGGTTAGAATTTAATGTTTAAATAAGAGGAGTAATGTGACCACGTGAAAACAGGGTACTGTAAGAGGAAAGCGAAGGATGAATTTTGTGGTATTTGTTATTCATGGTATTCTGTACAAGGGAAATTTGTACGGATTATTCTTCTATCTTAAATGCTTGCTTTTGGTGGACATCTCAGTTTAATTCTTAGTGTTAATATCCTGAGACAAATGTGTAGTTTGACCAACGCTTGGGGGATGGTTTCCTGAGAAAAACTGCCTAAGGTA